ATACTTTCCTTTTTTTAAGCTACATAGCCATTATTTACCTTATAAATATTTATTACATTTATTTGAGCTACATAGTATTCCATTATATGTATAAACATCTTTTATCCAGTCATTCATTCATGGACACCCAAGATACTTCCACATCTTAGCTGTTGTGAGCAGTACTACAATGAACATGGGAATGCAGGTGTCTCTTGACATACCAATTTCATTCTTTTGGAATACAAGTAGTGGGATTGTTGAACCTGATACGGAAAGTATATATCGTATTTTATTTTCCTCTCCCTTAGTAGTGTTTTGACTTTTATAATAAATATTGAAATATTTATGAACCAAATTACACAATAATGGCTTTATATTTCATCTTTTTTTCCATATTAACATGTATTTAGGTTTGCATATTCCCCATACACAGTACATATATGAAGGACATGCATAAAACAATAAGAAGGACATGGATGCAAAAATTTTGGCAGCAGAAAATTGCATGAATGTAAATTATTTTGTTGGATACATTTTTAAATTCTCCCCAAATATTTTTTAAAATTTGAATTAAAGTAAGTCTTTGTGAGGTTTAGATCAGTTAAACTGGGTTCTTTGTGCTTGTTTACTAGTTAATACCCATTCACAGTCATGAAATGTTCACCTGTGGAAGAGCTGAGGCTAGGCTATTGAAATTCAAGTTTTAAAATGATTCAAAGGAAGATAAATATATTTAAAAACAATTTTTCCTTGTAAGCCATAGGTCAGTTTTGTGGTAAAACTGCCCTAAGCATTCTAAACAATTTATAAAGTATTTCAAATTTTGAATAACTTGACGTATTTATAAATCATATACTACCAATACACATCTCAAATCATTGTACTTAACATAGAAAATGCAGCTAAAATTGGAATGAACTTTTTTCTTTCCCCAAACATTCATTATTTGTTTGAGAAGCAGAATTTTAAAAATTATTGTTTAAAAATTTTTTCATCAGTGTAAACACTTTAGAAAAGAGAAAATATATTATTCCAAATCAAATTGATGAACTTGTTGCTATAAAATATCCAGTGAACAGTTTTGTTAAGATTATTATTTTTTGTTAATTTCAAACACACACACAGTTTGATTAATTAATTATTTAATTAGTTAGCTATTTAATTTTGTGCTGTAGATTGAACCCACCTAAGATTCTACCACTGAGCTATACCCCAGGTTCCTGAATTTAAAGGTTTTGTTGTTGATTTTCCAAGATATTTTCATCTAAATGAAATATTATAGTTTAAATTTTATATCTAAAACTTATATGGAAACATCTACTTTACATGCAATTAATTTATATGTCATAATAAGTAATTAAATAATGAAATGAATTTATATAGTCCTTTTTATTCAGCTCTTCTGAATACTCTGAAACTGACCTATTACTTTTCATGGTATGGTCCCCAAAATTTGCAACAAGTTTCCTTCAGAAGTAGAAGGATTGTTGGATATAACAATCCTGGTCCTACCTCATACTTTTATCAGCATCTATAGAAATATATTTCAGTGAATCTGCTTTTAATAAACCACTCAAATGATTCTTGTGCCTATTTAAGTTTGAGAAACAAGTGTTAAATTTGAAAAGCCGCCGTGTCCTAATCTTTTCAGCATCAGTATCTCTGGGCTTTGCTATACACTGGGAGGATCTTTGCATAGCATACAGTGAGGTTTCCAATATTGCCTCCAGGTCCAGGTGTAGAAACTGAAGAAGCCCTGGATGTCTCTACAATTTTAAGAAAATAAGTAGTTCTGTCTTTGCCCAGAAACTGTGCATTAAAAAAATGGCTAATAAAATATACGTATAAATATGAACAAATTAATTTCAAACACCTGCCATAACAATTACCTATATCCCAAGCATAAGTACATTTTAGTACATTTCACAGTGGCTGGAAGTTCTATTAATTCCTTATCTTCCACAACAACTCAGCAAGTAGGAGAGTCTGCATCCTCCTACTCTGCGTCATTCAGAGGTACCTTTTTTTAGGAGTCAAATTCTATTCTGCCCAGTTTAAAAAGACTTACAGTAAGTTTACTTTCATTCTAAGGATCAGGACAGATCATCCAAACCAGCTAAGGAAGAGGAAATGGAGGAAGAGGAAATCCCAAGCAATGCAAGATTCCTAGTAATGAAAATAAGCAGAAATCATAAAAGTGAGCACAAATCATAGACTTCTTCCATTGCCACTCTCCTTTTCTCAGGTACAACAGAGATATGGACCAAGAAGGTTGACCTTTAAACTATCTAGCCCCAAATTTGTCCTAAAATTAAATGTTTAAACACATTCATTATTATTTTTTTCTCTTCTTCCCTTTCCTCATCTGTTTCTTTACCATTAGGTCAAAATTTCTTATTCCCATTTCTGCTTAATATAAATGGAAAGTCAGTATTTTTATACTGTAAAGGAGGAAAATTTTTCCATGTACTTCATACTGAAAGGATACAGAGTGGGCTCTGGAATCAGCCTATCTTGGTTCCAATCCAGAAACACCACTTACAACCTGGAAAACCTCCGACAAGTTGCTTTACCTCTCTGTGCTTCATATCTTTCATCTCTAAATGGGAATAGCATTGCCTCATAGGCTTGTTAATGGGATGAAATGAGAAAAAATATGTATAAAACCCTTAAATCTGAGCCTATATGTAGTGAACTTTCATTTATCCTCAGTGCTGTTACTGTGTTATTGAGGCTTAAGCTGTCAGCATGATTAAGGAACCCTCCTGGTGGCCAGGCTTCTGCTTACCTTCTTTGCCTCCCACGTGTCCTCCTTTCACTTCCTATCACTCTGCTCTACTAAAGCCAGATTACTTTTTAGTCCCAAACTCTATTATCCCTGTCCTGCTTATCTTCGTGCTTGCCACACTGCCTAGTCATCCTTCAGCATTCGTACAACCTATTTTCTATTAAGCTCCTGCCAAGTAAAATGGAATGCTGCTACGTTAATGTCCCCTGCCAGACATTTGTTCAAAGTTCTTCATTTCTCTTTCCCTGTTTTCTCCTCTAGACTGTGAACCTTTCAAGGGCAGGAAGAATGTGTTAGAAACCCTGAGGGCCATAATACCTGGCAGCTCTCTGTTATGTAGAAGGCATTTAGAAAAAGTATGTTGAATTAAAGAGCGCTTAAAAACTCAGTCTAGTAATTCTGAAGTCATAAAATTCTATTTAAAGTACAGTCACAGGAATTGGCTTCATGACCTCTTCTGGCAGCAAATCCCATTTATTACCACAAATGGCATAAAGTCATTGTGGATATTTGTTCAAAATTTAAAGTCATTTAATCGCATCTGATGAATTAAGGTCTTGGTCCTGTGAATGGAATTCAGTTCTGAATATATCTGTGATGTTTCTAGCAACACCAATGACCTCTAATGTTTTGTTTCTATATATAAACATTGTTCCATTTAGTTATTTTACCAGTTTTTAAATTTATATATCATATAGTGTTATTACCAATCGTTACACTATCTTTTGTTTTGTTTTGGTACTGAGATTGAACCCAAGAGTGCTTAACCTCTGAGCAACATCCCCACTCCTTATTTTATTTTTATTTTTTTATTGTGAGTTAGGGCCTCACTAAGTGGCTGAGCCTGGCTTTGAACTTTCAATCCTTCTGCTTCAGCCTCCAGAGTCACTGGGATTACAGGCATGTGCCATCTTGCCCAGCTAATTAGACTATAATCAAAAAGTTCAATAGTATTTTTTAAAACAATTATGTAAAACTAATGTTTTTATATTCTCCCACTTTGGTGGATTTTACACAAATCTACTGAAGTAGCTAGTACAGCGGTGCATACCTGTAATCCCAGCTCTTCAAGAGCATCACAAATTCAAATCTAGCCTGGACATCTGTGTCAAAATAAAAGATAAGAATTTTAAAAAAAAAGGAAAATATTTAGGGATGTAGCTCAGTGGTAGAGTGTCCCTGAGTTCAATTCCCAGTACCAAAAATTTAATCAATTGGTCAATCATCAATCTACTCAAGTATCCTGAATAAGTATCTAATTTCTAATACTAAAATTAACCCTTCTCTATAGGAAAAAAAAATGTACATAATTAAGAAGTCTCTGAATACATTTTCATTTATGAGAAGACAAAATTAATTAACCACATTTATATTTATTCAAACATATCACAAATATCTAAACACTTCTTTCCATGGCCTCTGTGGCAAAACATATCAACCATGTTTCTCATTTCAACTACTGCAACAACCTTAGGACTGGCTACTGCTTCCACAATTTCCTCTCCACTAAACAGAACATTTGAAGTGATTCTTTAAATTTTTAATGAGATCATGTTAGTTTCCCAGTCAAAGCTTTCCTACCTCCATTGAACCATGAAATAAAGCCCGAACTTAGGATGGCCTTTGAGGCCCAATGTATCTGTTCAGTTAGCTCCACCTCCTGCCCTGCACCCTGGATCTCCACGACTGCAGGTACAGTGGAAATTTAAGAAATTTTTATAATTCAAGAAAATTTTAAAGCATTTTCTTCCATTTAAACCAATCATGTATGTTGGCTAAAAAAGTATCAACATGAAAATGAAAAACGTTAAAAAAATCATCTACTTATTTGGCCTTTCTGTTGCTAAGTATCCATATATTTATAAAAATCTAGATGATTTAGTAACATGGGTCCACTTTTTGTGCTATATAGTACAAATGATAAACGTAATAGGTGAAGTACATGAAATATATTTAGCTGTCAAGGCATACTCAATTCCTTAGAGTTTCAATTACAACATTCATTCTTTTTAATTACATTTTCCTTTATTGATTTATGTAATTTAATAATGTTTTCCTAAAAATTTAAAGAAAGCATGAATTGATATAAATAAAGGAACCAATAATACATACAAAAAATTCTAGGTTGTAAGATGTGTGATTTATTTTAGTTTCCCTTTTGGTTCTTTAGCTTCATATACAGTACACCCAATGTGTTTAGCTAACATACTTGTTTCTCTCTTTTCAACAGGTTTAGAATGTAATAACTCAAGAATTCGATAACACAGTGGAATAGTTTAACAACTGTTTATGTGCTTCCCATGATATGTTCTCTGTATTGTAAGTAAATATTTACTTTCTCAATCCAGCTTGTTTGTGGGATAAATATGTTCAATTAGAAATTATAGGCAATGTATATTGTTTAAAACTCACCCAAAATATAGAACAAATTTATAAGATTATCTACTATGAAAGGATGTTCTGTAGCTTAGATTTAATACTGTATCAAAATTAAAACTTAAAATTACTGTCTATCATGATAGAATATATACTGATGTTTAATTATACTTTTAAAATGCTATACTTAATACTCTTAAGAAATAATAAACATTTGAAATGTATATGTCTACCCCTATTTGAACACTGCACATTGTACATATGTATCAGAACATCACATGATGGCCAATAAATATTTACTATTTTTATGTGTCAGTTAAAAATAAAAAGGTTTTGAAAGCAATGCAGGAATAAAGAACTACTAAGCAGTAAGTTTCAACTCTTAGAAATGGCAAAGAAAGGAAACAGCCCAATTCTTTCCCTCAGAAGAAAGTAAGCCATGAATTAAAGCCCTTTGCTTTAAAAAATCTATAATTTTTTAACATGTTTAGGGCACCAGGACATGCTATATCTTAACTACTAATGTTATCAGACCTAAAATTTACATCTCAAGCCTTACTCTCCACTCTCCCAATTCTTTTCTTGCTGTAGCTCTTGTCTAAGGATATAAAATCTGGCACCCATGATGAGGAATGCAGTGAACCTTGATCCTTCTTCATGGAAGGGAGGAAAATGTTGGGTGCCTGATTTTATTTTGAGAGTTTGAGGTGGTGATAAGTAGGGTATTGACATCCTATTTCAGAATACAGACAAATTTTGATATAAAATATAATTTAATGCATAATGTAAGACTCTAAAGAAGTACTCCTGTCTATTAAAATATAATGTGTATAAAATATAATATTTTTAATCAAGATAGAATAATTTTAACACTTGATCAATGTAAAAACACTAATGAGACAATTTATATTTTTCCCAGTAATATTTGAAATTCAATGTATTCTTAAAGCACATCTCAATTCAGATATTAATTTTGTATTGGAAATACTTGACTTACATTAAAATATTATGAAATTTACAATTGAAGAATTAGCTTAACAAATTCAAGTTTTCCCACATATATTTTATTTTTTTAATAACTAAGTCAAATATCAGTTTTAAATTTACTTAAAATTAAGGCATTTCTGCAGTCAAACTATCCACATTTCAAGGACTCAACAGTTACATATGTGCACTTGATTGCAACATCCAGCAACTGTATTCAAGAGAACTGTTGACAAAATGCTACAGTTCTACTACCTAATAAGTTTTTTACTAACTTCTGGACACAGTAAAGAGCATATAACTTTAAAATTTCAATGAAAAAAATTATCCAAAAACTCTGACTTAAAGTAAGGTTTTATATAATCACATATTTATGAAACATATATGGATAAGAAAAATATACAAATATACAATAATTTCCAAATGACAACATATGTTAAAATTTGTTGGAGTTTCTTAATTTCAGTTACATTTTCTGCTATAACTGAAGGAATTAGCTAATCATAGCCTCTTTGTTTCAATAAGTGAATCAAAATTTAGATATAAAATAAACAAAACTTTAATTGTGAAATACACTCATGAAAGAATGAAAATATAAGCTGCAGACATGTAAATCAAATTCTGATAAAGATTTGTAGCCAGAATATATAAATAACTCTTATACTTAATAATATGTGATCAAATTGAAAAATGAGAAAAATATCTGCGCTTCACCAAAGGATATTTATGAATGGTTTACGGGTATAAGAGAAAATGTTCAACATCATTAATCATTAGGGAAATGCTCATTAAAACCACAGTGAAATATTACTCATAATCTATTAAAATGTATAAAATTTCTAAAATTTGACAATGAAAAATATTGATAGTATAGAGGACTACAGAGAAGTGTCAGTCATTGATGATGAGAAGTCAAAAAGCTACAAAGCCACTTTGAAAAACTATGTACCAGTCCCCTATAAAATTAAACACAGATGTTTCTTGACTTGCAAAGAGGTTGCATTCCAATAAACCAATTATAAGTTGAACATATTGAACATATTGAAATATATCAAAAATGTATATAATGCACCCAACCTACTGACCATAATAAAATTCCAGCATCATGAGAGATTAACATGTCACTAGATCAGAAAAAGATCAAAGTTCAAAATTTGAGGTGAATGCTGTACTGAATATGTATTGCTTTTGCTCAGTTGTAAAGTTGAAGGGTTGTAAATTGAACAATCTTAAGTAGAGGATCATTTATATACACTTATTATATGATCCAATGACCCCAATTCCAGGTAAATTAAAAACTTATTTTTACTGAAAATCTATATGTGAATACTTGTAGCAACTTTATATTTAACTGTCAAAATATGAAAATAAAAAATCAGCTGTTTTGAACCAGTGAGTTGATGAATGAACAAACTGTAGTATTTTTACACAAAGGAACACTACTTATCAAAAGGATATATTGGTTCATTCATAGCATGCATAAATCCTAAGTGAATTTTGGTAAGTGAAAGAAGACAGACCCAAATGACTAAGTGTTGTGCGATTCCATGTATTGCAAATTTTAGAAAAGGCAAAACATAAGAGATGGGAAACAGAACAGTGGTGACCTGGTTTAGACATATAAAAGAATTGACTACAAAGTGACTGCAATAGAAACGTTTGGGGGCAATGGAACTGTTCTATATGTTACTGTGGTGCTGAGGAGATTACTGTAGATATCAAAGCACACAGAACTGTACAACTATATAGTATGCGAATAAAAAATAAGAAAACAAACAGGATGGGGTATCCCAAAATGGAATTAATTAATCTAAACAAATGACAAATGTAAGTTATAATTTCACTGAAGGTTATTGGAAAAAAGGTAGTTATCAATTCTGTAACTACTTTGCAAGTATTCTGGCATGAAACAAATAAGTAAATTGTTAACAGCCAGAATAACCTGAACAAAAAATTAGAAACAAGATGGCTAAAAAAAAGCAAGATGGCTAAATTTAATAGATTAAGGATTAGTATCAATATAAACTCATTTTTATTTAATATACATTCAGACATAGAAATACAGAGAGTGTATTTCTATGTGCACACCCACATAACATTAGCTCTCTCTGCCAAAAGGTTCTAAAAGTAGTGACTCTGCTGTAGCAAAAAAAACCCTTTCATATTCAGATTCAGCTTTTAAATACCATTCTCCAACATAAAAAGAACCAACTTCTTATGGGGGAAAATGGCTGATTCTAGGTCCTGAGCAGGAAAAATGCAAGGTAAGCCTCACCAGCAAAAAACAAAGCAAAACTAACACATTGGGACATGTCAGAAGCACATGAGAGCCAACCAGAAAGAATTCTCAATGACCAAAGCTGAAACACTTTAACAAAATAATGATCTTATTATATTATAAGCTAAAGCAGAAAGCAAAAATCCAATAATCCACACTGATATAGGTAATTGGTTGAACAAGCAAATAAATTGAGAGACAGATCTTACTTATATAAAAATTCCAAATAATACATGTAGATACCTCAGTTACCTCACCCCCCAAGATATGAACCTTAATTCTCTTCCCTTTGAGTATGGGCTAAATTAATGACTATTTATAAAGAGTAGAGATTATGGACTTGGGGAAGGTAAGTTTTTCTAGAGAAACCTGGTAAACACCACCCTCAAAAACTGATGAAGATTACCATCTCCAGTGACAAATCATGTTGATACCAAATACTCTGGTGTGATGGGATTAGGACACCAGACTTATGTGATATGCTTCCACAAAATCCATAGTCCCACTCTAATCATGAGAAAATCATTACACAAAAACAAAGTGAGGGACATTCTACAAAATGCCCCACCTATGCTCTTCAAAAGTTGCAATGAAAGTGATAGGAAAGACTGCGAACCACAGTTGAAGAGTGGAAGGAGACATTACAACAATGCTATTTGGTACCTTATGTTTCACTTTGAAAGGAAATATGGGAATTATTGGGGAAAACTGAATAGATCCTATAATTTGGTTAATATTATTACATGAATGTTATTTTGACAAATGTGCCTAGTTAAGAATGAGGGAAGGAAATATGGGAAATCTCTGTGTATCTTTGCAACTTTTCTATCAATCTCAAGTTTTTACAAAATAGAGAAATTAATTTATATGAACTACAAGCTTTTACTAGCAAGGATTAATGTCCACCATGTTTAAGGTACTTTAAATGTCAATATCAAAAGTAAAATAATTCAATTAAAAAAAGGTCAAACAGGGGCTGGAGCTCTGGCTCAGTGATAGTGCACTTGCCTGGCATGTGTGAGGCACTGGGTTCAATTCTCAGCAATACATATAAATAAATAAAATACAGGTCTATCAACAACTAAAAAAAAATTTAAGAAAATGGTCAAAGGACATAAACAGCCAGTCCTCAAAAGAAGAATCTCAGCTAGGTGCAGTTATACTCACCTGTAATTCCAGCTACTCAGAGGCTGAGGTATGAGGATTACTTGAACCTAGAATGGAAACCAGCCTAAGCAACATAGAAAGATTCCCATGTCAACAAATAAAGGAGGAAGAGGTGGAAGAATTCAAATGATAAATTAAAAAGGCATAAATATATAAAAAATGTTTTTATTTGAAATAAAAGTTTCAACTGTCCCTGTTCTAGGTTAATGAAAGCTCTTATTTGCATTGACTTTGTGCTAAACACTCAGGATAGACCAAATCAAACAGAACTTTCAAATTTTAGTTCTGTGTATAGTTTATATTAATTTAAGACTTTATATAAAAACAACTAAAAGCAACTACATAGATATCAAGTGAACTAAATCACAGAAAGGCAAATCCTGCATATTCTCTTATATGTGGATATTTAAAAAAAAAAAGTGGAACTGAATGTAGAGTTGTGATTAGTTGAGTTTGTGAAGGGTAGAAAGGAGTACAATGGAAGGAAGTTGTACATTGCAAAGCAAAACACAGA